AAATGTTAGATTACAAAAACGAAAGAAACAAATAATGTGTATTTGTATTATTTATTTGAATGCTTAAAGCATTGAATTTTGTGTCGCAGCCAAAAGATCTATACGTTTTTAACTGACAATCAATCAATAAATATATATTCTTTTTATAAATAGAATGAAAACTAAATATAAATACATTTTTTTACAATACATTCGTTTTATATTTTATAATTCACAATTGCTATGATGTGTACAACAAAAAATATACTTGTAATTAAATGCTATTCATTCAAAAATAACATTTTAAATATTACAGAGTACTGGTTTTCCGTTTTGTCTTCAGATTACGTAATCCTCTATAATCCCTTTCATCATTTCATTTAGTTATGCGTCGCACTTATTTGAAAAAACTAAATATAGACAGGGCCAAACGATGACAGCTGCGATTATCAATGCACAATTTATTTAACTGAAATATAAATGGAATCAAAGTAAAATGTAAATATGGACAAGTGGAGAGGAAACAAAGCCAGACAGAAATATGGGGGGCGAACAAAAGATACGCGAAGTTGGGGGAATTTTTGTAGTTGTCGCACTTCCGCCCTTTCCGACTTTCGACTGCCAAAATGCATATGGCAAGGAAATGAAACGTGGAGAAAACGGGGGGGAATGGGTTGAGAAACATGGGGTTGGAGAGTGCATACATATGCGAGTTTTGTGGCACACAAGACGTGTGGAAATTATGCGAGGCGCGTGTCAAGTGGCGCAAAACTGCAAGAAAACTTTTCGCCAAGACGGTGGTTGCTTCCCTTTCCACTCCACTCCACTCCACTCCTCTCCACTCCGCTTAGTTTCCCCAGAAAACCCCCTGTTTTCTATACTCATACCACCCTTTCATTCCCATTCCCATCCCACTCAACGCCTGCAATTACATTGTGAATTAAATTGTAATGAGGCGCATGCGGCGAAATATGAAAATGAGACCGAAGTGGCGCGGCGGAACCAAGTTAAACCGGAAAAAGGGGGGGGTAAAGGCACGGAATTCCGACTTCGCGCACAAATGGCAATTAACAGTTATGTTTGCTGTTCTGACACGTTGCAGACAGTTTTAATGACGGCCAGAAAAACAGTGGAGTCGAAGACGTCGGCGACAGAACTATTTTTGGCCAACTTCGAACGAAGGCCGCAGTCAGTCGCCAGACGCTTAAAACAGGAAGTACTGTTCGTGGGGGGAGTATCCTCCCTACACAGAAATAATTATACTTTAATTCTTGGTTTGCTAATACTATATAATTGTAATTAAATAATTCTTAGTGCTTTAGTCCTAGAATATCAATTATTTTTTTTTATCGTTACGAAGCTTATAAGGCAAATTTACACTTAAGAACTGTAAGGTCAGCTAGATAAGTAAATATATAATCTTCCAAAATTATAACAAAATGTGACGACCCGATTGACCAATTTAAACATATAATAATATAATATAATAAATAAATTATTATAGTATTTTTTTATTACATATATTTATAATATATATTTTTTAAGTTGAAAACAGCTGTAATTGGTTTCTTAAATAAATATTTAAAAAATTTATGTTAAAAAGCAAAACGAACTATTTGAACATTTTATTCAGATTTTGTTGACCATTATTTGTCGCAGTGTTGTCCCCTGGAACCTGAGTAATGCAGTTTTCACTCGCCTAATTGGCTGTCATCGGAAGTTCGTGTAATTTAAAGTTATTGGTCATTGGTCAGCATCTTGGGGACCAAGACTTCTCTACAGGTTAAATTGGCGATAATTATTTATTTAAGAGACATTCTGGTAAAGATATGTTTAAGATGTTTTCTAAATATATCATTTTATTTGGAAAACTGAGTAAAACATCAATAAGGTTTTATTTGTTAAGATAGATATTGAAATGGTAAACGGTAAACGGTAAAAGTTAACATATTTCTACGAACAGAAAGACATCACTTATTTTGTGAGCTTCTGAATAACCAAATTACAATGAATTTATCAAAACCTTTTTTCTTTGTCAAAAATTTGTTTTTTGGTAATCAGAAAATCTTTGCACGTACCAAAATATAAGCAAGAGAAACATTTTACAGAATGTCCGCAAAATTTAGCAACACACAAAGGGGACATTTTTTTAGCAGCTTTGGGGAGAATGCAGCGCGAAAGTGCCGCAAAACGATCAGCATTAGCTTCCGCCCCTCGCCGCCCACTTGATAGACGTAATTTTACCGCAAATGTTGCGCCCACTTTGGCGTAAGTAAGTAGGGGACGAAGTTGAAGGGCAGCAGCCAGAAGAAGAGTGCATTTAAATGACCGTTTTGTCGCAGCTCCTAATGACAACCACTTGCGGCTGTCAAATGCAACTCTGGCCACGCAGGGTTGTAATATTTTATGGCGTGGGGAAAAGAGAAAGAAAGTGATGAAAAAAAGGGTGGTTTTTATTATACCCAGTATATGCGGGCATATTATATGATTATAGGCCATACAAATGTTTTCACACGAATGGAAAAATAAGATTTACATTCCACAGTAAACTTAAATTCACAAAGTATATTTTTATATTTTATCCTTGCAAAATTATGCATAGATTATACAAAAACTAATATTGTGTATTTTCTTTTCGCCCTTTAAAACTAAATTTTTCGTACTATTTTCATTAGGCTTTAAAGATCCATAGGAGTTAACATAGGTAACCACTTTACTTTCCCATTTGCAGCAAAGCCATCAGGTACCTTTTCGTCGAGACTTTAGCATGTTTTTCTTCTCTGACCAACAATGCCATATGAATGCATATTGCCCCACTCACATACTCACCCAGCACCCTTGCTCATTTGGTCTGCACCTCCTTGGGCGCATTCATAATTTCCCCATTAACCCTATTTTCCAGTTATGCACGAGTGCCCCAAACAGCGTAAAGAAGAAGAAATTGTCACCCAGCCACCCCGTCGAAAAAGCGCTTTTCCCTGCCCACTCTCGCGCTCCCTGATGGATTTTAAATGAACTTTAACACGTGCAATGTCCCCTGACAGTGCGGAATGAAGGGGACCGGAGCTAAGTAATTGGTTTAGCACTGCGCGGGTGGGCTGGGCGGAGCTTAACAGGTTCGCTTCACAGATTATCCTTGAGTTGATTTTACAGCTAAACTAATAACAAAAAATTTTCATTTCAGTTGGCAACAGCAGTTGGTGAAGAGAAATGAGTTTCCTAATGAGATATTGAGCATGAAGAAATTGCAAATTGCAATGCAGCAATAAAAAAAAATTGTGCACAAGGGTTAGAACATTTTTATGTTGACATCTAAAAGGGTATTGCCAAAATATTTATAATTTAAATAGTTTTAAAAGCTTTATTTTGTTATCAAAGTACATATAGTCTTTATACTAGAAAATCCATATTAACCAAAAAAAACGGCATCAAGAAAAACAATTTCCCGAACCCTGGAATCATTTCCTGATCATGAAATTTGATATAAGCCATTCCACTTTATATATTTTTGCAACAAATTGTCATAGGTAAAGGTAACATTATTAAAACACATTCGGTTAAACTACTTCCTGAAACACAGAGTATATTCTCCTACCCCTTCCTGGAAGAAATTGACTCCATATCTTTGTGCTGAAATTGTCTTGAAGAATGCTACATTTTTCTGAAAGACCGGTTTTTGCCCCCCGCTTTTCCCATTTAGAGTGTGCCAAATGCACATTTAATAACGTAATTTCTGAAGCGTGCACAAGATATTTTTAGAATTTAGTTCTTCTTTGCCAAACTCCAGCACAGCCTCGACTTTTTCTCCATCTGCTGCTGGCAACTTTTTCTGCTTCATCTTGCACAAACAAAAAGCGGTGCAGATACATATGTACCGAGGGACTATGTACATTGTACGCCGTATAAATTTATATATGTATATAGGTGGAATAGATATATATATATATATATATATAACTGTCTCCAACCTACGTGAGCACGATGAAGAAGTCGCCCAACTTTTTGGCAAAAAAAAAATGGGTAAGGAACAGAATTTGCATATGCAACGTAACTCCTGACGACGATCATGACGGCGACGATGATGAAGATGATGATGATGTCGCACATTGAGGACACACACAGGACACTAGAAATAGCTGCTGGCAACAGCTAACCAGCACAGCCCAGCACAGCCCAGCCCAGCCCACTACCTACCCCACTATCCCTGTCATCAGACTCATTTCAGCACTGAAAGCTTCGCCACTTTTATGCAAATAATGTCTTCCAGGAATTTTTGTTATTTATAGTTAAGATAGCAAAACGTGTGGATGTCTGGATATATCTCAAAAAGTGTGTGCATTAGTAGCTATGTCTCCTGCTCGCACACACGCTTTGTCCAAGTTATTGCTTCATTTCTTGAGCAAACTTCTTCACCTGCCAAAAGAGGATACTTTCCAAGGATGGCAAAAAGGTTTGCTGATGAGTTGGGCGTTGGGCGGCGTTGGGCGTATCTTTTGAGGTTGTCAAACTTTAACAGAATATCTCCAACTATCTTCCGGCTTCCTATTGCCATCGCAGGCATGTAAGTCTGACAGTCAAATTACATTTTGTAGCTCATAAAAATGTTGTCATTAAAGTTTTGGCAGTTGACTTCGATTGGTTGCCCATCGTCTGATAGCCCAACTCCTGCTTTTATTCATCTCCCTCTTTTATTGGTCATAATTTAAATTGACATTTGCTTTAGACTTAATTTGGTTAGAATGTCTCGCACAGTCAAATTGAGAATTCTCTGGACATTTTTCATTGACTGACATTGAAATATGACGAACAAATTTGATTATGGTAGAGGAAAATTCCAATAACTATGTAAATTTTATTTTTTGAATTTATAAAAAGAAAATAAATGTAATTAAAGGAATTCTTTGTCTACTTTGGAAAACATCTCAGCCACAAATTTGTGGTAAATTGAATGACTATTTATTTATTTTAAAAAATAAGATGTCAAATATATTTATGTATGCATTTTTTGGTACTGTACTCACCTAATTCAACGTAAAGTTTTGGTCGTATATTCTCCTGCCAGGCACTTTGATTACCAATCACGAGGACTGTAAGTAGTAGGAAGACTTGCATCCAACCGTATCCGTAAAATTTGCTTAACTTATGTTTCATTATTGTTGCTTTTGCCGTTGCACTTTTCAAATGCATTTTATGGCTGTTGTTATGCTTGTTCTTGGCGCTGTTGTTATTGTGGTTTGTGTTGTGTAAATTTAACATTTCTACTTTGCATAAAATTGTGTTAAATTTCAGTTGGGTTTGATTAAATTTGCAACATTTATTATTGTTGATTTTCTGTGTGTGCTTTTCGTCTAACTTTATTGTATTTAAATGGATTTGATTTTATTTTTGTTTTGGATTGGCTGTGCGTGATTTAGAGTTACTGCGTCTGAATTTACTTTAATCGATAAATGGATATTAAGTATGGCAAATATATTGATTAATTCTTTATTTAACAACTTTTACTCGTTTGTTTACAACAGGTTTTAGTTTGTCTCTGGGATTTATTTATTTATGGAAAAACAAATGCGTTGAAGGATGAAAGTTCAGTCATATCTGCAAAGAGAGAAAAAGAAAAAAATAAGGAATGTGAATTTGTTATAAAATGCAGTTAAGACATTTGGTATACATGACGTATGAGCTATTTGTTAGCTTATCTTAAAAATATTGTATAAATTATTATTTTAAGCAAAGAAGACCCTTTGTCGAACAAAGAACGCGGAACAATTTACATTTCTTTGAATCTTAAAGTTGTATGCATTTTATAAATGCAATAAATATGGAATTTGGTGTTTTTGCTCCTTCTTTGATACTAAGTTTTTGAATAATTTAACCCAATATCTTATCCCCTATTTTAGCATTTTTCAATTTGGCATGCATACATTTTGTGCTCGATTTAATTTAGGTCTTTTGCCTACCCTCTGCGTTCTTAAATCGGCTTATTGTGCAATCGTGTGTGTGCACACTCACACAAACAACACACACACGCACATGGCCACGCCCTCCAATTGGGGAGTCGCAGAAATTGTTTTTTTTTTTCCATGCAGATAAGTTTAGCGACCTTCGCCCACAAATGGAAAAGCGTAAGAACTGGCAAAAATTATATAAATGAAGAGAGCGAGGACAAGGCAAGGCGAAAAGAAACTGAAAGGCAGGAAGAATAAACGAAAAAAAGGCGGAGAAAGGCGGATAAAGAAAGCAGGCAAAGAGTGGGTGAGAAGAGAAAAGGTGCCAAGTAGCGTGCACAGTTAATGAGTTTTTCAGAACACCCAGAACCCAAACCCACCCACCTGCACCCCCAGCCATGTAGAGAAATTAAAATGTAGCACGAAAATGTACAAATCTAGCACACCGAAGGGGTTGAAAAGGTGAGGGGTGGAGGGGAAAGAGGTGGAACGGGGTTATTCGGTGTCATAAATCTGCCACAGGTGAACTTTGAGGTGGGTGTGGCCGGGTGGCCACAGTGCAGTGCAATTTGTTTTTCCAAGTCATGTGCATCTGTTCTAATTATGACGTCAACAAAGCGCCTAGGTGCCAACAAGAAAATGCATGAAAAAGGCTACAAAATACCCGCTAATTAAACTTACATCTTCTTAAAGTCTTTTTTTAAAGGTGTTAAGCTTTTGCAATCGAAGAAAATTGTTATCGACTTCGAAAGGTTGGTTACTAGTAGACACTACAAATTTAGTTAAAAGGTAGGTACAAAATTTTAGCTTACGAAAAAATAAAAAAATTACCCACGAACAACAAACCAACTTCAAGTTATCTAAAACATCTTTAAAATTATTTTTCAAACATTTTTTTGACTTGAATAATCATTTTGCTTCAGGGTAACTTTCTGTAGTGAATTAAACGTATTACAAAAATATATATAATTCGTTAGTAGCAAAAACTTTTACCAAATAAATACGTTCGGTTTGTTATAAATGTATTATTTTGAAGTTTAACCATATAAGCTTTAATTTTCGTAATCGGAATACTTAATATATACCCTTCAGTACCTAACAGTACCCATTACCAGAATGACCCAAAACGGACGAGAGGTGAAAGGGTTATAAATATATATAAAAGTCGAGTATCCACTTTGCAGTTCACATGCTGTTTTTGCTGTTGCAGCTACACTTTGCCGATTGTTAGTTTAGATAAAGAGCAGACAGACACACTTGCCACGGCATGGATGTGGATATGTTTGAAGCGAGTATAAGTGGCCATGTGTTAGTTGAGTACCTGTAAGTGTTCACGCAAAATTAAACTAAAAACGCTGTCACTGAACAGTAAACCAGTAACTATCGAGTGCAGTCGATATATGTTTGAAGTGCCAATAAAAAGGACATGCATATAAGCTTGTCAAATGATTAACAGCTGAATAGTGTCAGAAAATCATGAGTAAATTATGGGAAGAGCTTTAGGAAAAACTTTCTATAAAAGAACCAAATCGATTTCCGGAGTCAAAATGTTACTTTTTAATAACGAACTGTTTTGCATAAGCCTTGTTTATGGTCATGAAGAAAATATTTTATAATTATCATTTCCCACAAAATGGTAAAATTTTGTTATAATTTACATTACGTAAAATGGCACATATTCTCTGAACCATTTTCATAAGTCAAAAACTAATTGTGTTTCTCATTTAGCTGGCATTGCTACAATTCCTGCACACAGATCACAATGTTTTGGAATAATTTAGAGCTAAGCATTCGGAACCCATCTACTATTTCAGCTTGTAACCCGCTTACAAAGTACAAACATAAAACATTTTTGGGGTAGCCATCAAAAAAGAGACGTTTTCCAGGCATTTAAAATTATTTTTCATGTAGAGGCAGACAGAAAAACAGGCAACTAAAAATGAGGCAATGCCACGCCCACGGGGGTCGGCCTTTTCAACTGCAACTGCACTGCAGTTGCCGCAGGGAAAACAGAATTTTCCGTTGGGTAAGGACTTAGGGGCCTTGGGTCTGTAAATGGCTACCAAAAATTAAATGCCTCGAATCCCTGCAGACAGCACGAATATGTCAAGTGTGTGTGAGAGAGAGTATGTGTGTGTGTGTGTTTAAACAACAAATGCAAACAACAATAACATTGCCAGCGAGTGGTTGGCAGGAAGAAAGACTGGGTCCAGATCCTGCGTCTGAGCCTGATGCATTGCGCATATTACTCAAAAATAATGCCAGTTGAAAAGAAAACAACAATGACGCAAAACAAACCCAAACGAACTTGGCTTTAGTGGAATGGCGTCAGAATAATACCCTGCTGAGATTAAGCAATTACATTTATAAATTTATTTGTTGGTATTTATTGATTGATTTCTAAAGCCACATGTTATTAACACAGTTCTTTTGTTTGTAATTCATGCAGAGATGCATTGATGCGTTATAGCCGTAAAGCTTTTTTTTTAAATATTTTTAGTGTGCCAAACAATTCAATATTTTAGTATTTGCTTAGTCTTAGCTTTCCATTATTGTTTTTTAAGAGGAAAATGTATATAAAGTGTAGTGAAGATAATTTAATAAGTCACAACGAAAATCTATAAATTCTTTTTGCTTGCAAAAACATTTAGTAATTAGACACAAAATACTTTTTGAAGTTGCTAAAAGTGAATTCTCGGTAATAAATAAAATAATACCAAACAAATTGATACCTTTTGGAATTTTAATTTCGACATTTGCCAGTGCATTAATCATTACAAGTTTTTAGAAACTAAAAAACATATAGATAGATAGATATTCGGGGGCATCACAAAATAATGCATTCTAAAGGGGTTTAGTGTGTCACGATTGCCCCTGAGATTTCCGAGTATAAAAAATTGCACTGGCATCAGTTTGCGATTTCAGTTTTCCCAGCCCTTTACCCCCATTCCCTTTTACCACTTTCACCCATTCACCCTCTCACTTAACACTCATCAGGCAATGCAATTTGTTTTTTGCGGCCGCCATTTTGTTGCAGGCTTTTGCAAAATGGCCGCCGCCATTGCAAATAACACAAGAGTGAGCGCAAAAAATCAGCTCTTAATATACAAATAAATGCCGCAATTTACGTTTTGTTTCCCATTTGTGTTTTTTGTTATCGTTTGTCTGCCATGGGAAATATTTATGTTGCAAATCTTTTGCGGCCCGACGAGTTTTTCTTCATTTTCAGTTGCTGTGTTTTATCGCTTTATTTTTCGCCTTGGTTTTGGTTCGTGACTTGTTTGTCTTGTCTGCATATCCTGCAGCCATTTGTTGTGTTTTCGCCTCTTTGTGTTTTTCCCGGGTTTTTGGCCTGCAGTGAGCTCCTGAGCTCCTTCATATCCTTGTAAAAATGGGATTTGCTCTCGTTGTCGCGCAAAAGTTCTCATTTATTAGCTTTGCTTATGTCTGTCTCTGTGTTTGAAAATATTTTACAATTTTTAGCAGCATGTCTGAGTGCGTGCGTGTTTGTGTCCTGGCACCAAAGACAAACAGATTTATTCGTTTAGAAAACTTTGTGTCCTTATCTTGGTCCATATGTCTTTGTTTGTGTTTCGTGTTTTATGTTCATCTCGTAAGGAATGGGGGTGGTGGTACTAGAGCAAATAATCATAATGGAATTTTTAAGGCTTATAACAATCCAACATGTTGCTTGCATGTGGGTATAGCTTAACCATAAATTTTGCGATCTAAATCTAAATAATTGAAATTTATGATTTTGCAAAAATAAACATTAAGCATTTGAATTGCGTTTTGAAACGCCGCTAGCGGCATGATGATATATTTATCCATTATGTTGAATCTCTGAATGTTATAACTATTATGTGAAATAGATTCTAGATATTAAGAGTTATTTTGATAGATGAGGAGCACTTGCTTATGTTTGATAAGTATTTTAAAGCATTTGCCTAACAAATTTAATACAAAACAAGAGAAAATGCTTCAGTCGAGTTTCCCGACTATTAGATACCCGTTACTCAGCCAATAAACTTAAAATCTCCAGACTATTGATCCATCTCAAGAATATATATACTTAATATGGTCAGAAATGCTTCCTTCTACCAGTAATATACTTTTCAACGAATACCATATAAAAGGGTATACTCTACGAGTAACGGGTATAAACAGCCAATAGTTCTTCCCTTGAAAACCAAGAATTCCCTTGAATTTAATGGCGCGTTTTCTCCTGCAAGTCCTGTTTAATTAGCATTATCTTATCTCGATCCCATCTCATCTGCTAATTTATCTGCTCTGCAGCATTCAAAGCTCATTTGGAGCTGGGAGTTTATTGTCCTACTGAAAAAGCTTGAGCACAGTGCTTCGAGGGGATTTAATACTTATTTCTTATGCCATGACACGTTCTCGGAATTTTTTCCGACCAGTCTCTACTTCGGAGTTGGGCTGGCAATTGCTTGCTTTGTTGTGGTTGTTGTGACTTATTTTTTAGTAAATACTACTTAGTTAGTTAGCCAGGACTGGTGCTGGACGCTGTTTTCCCTCGCAATTATTATTCCGATTCCGGACTGTCTCCCTGGCAGCTGCTGCCCCAACTCCCGACAGGAGCTAATGCTTTCCTTTCGGAAGGGAAATGGAAGGACCAGACCAAAAAGC